AGATGTGGTTTTCATGGGGAAATGTGTCATGGGGCAAGAATTTTAAGGCTCCTTCTGACCTGTGTAGGGGCCAAATAATTGGGGCATAATGTAGATATCCAGTGTGTTATGGGCTTCTGGCAAGTGGATGGGTTCATATTAGCCAATCTGATTAGAAGAGAGATGTTAAAGGGATCAGAGCTTGGAGCTGGCCCTGTGGCCTAGTAGTTAAGTTTGGCACACTGCACTATGGCAGCCTGGGTTCAGTTCCCAGGAGCGGCCCTACACCGCTTGTCAGCAGCCGTGCTGGGGCAGCAACCCACATACGAAATAGAGAAAGGTGGGCAGAGATGTTAGCTTAGGGCTAATCTTCCTTAGCGGAAAAAAGGGGGATCAGGGCTTATGCTAGATAGAAAAATAACATTATCCCCTATCTGATTCTTTTCCTGTTTTAGATATATTTTTTCTTTAATCATTTTATTGAATGGCCTGAACTTGATAAGGTACAGTGAGTCAATAGCTTTCTTTTTGTTTCCACGGCTACCTTCCAATATGATGTTTTGGATCTCCTTTCCCTGCTCCTTGACAGCATCTCAGGAAGATCACATAACTTTGTCAAGTTTATCTCAAACTTGACAATACATGAGAATAATCTTCATGTTTTATAGAGTCCAAGCCAGTCTAGATCAGGAGTTCACTCTCATTCATTTGCTTCAGTGCTTCTCCCCTCACCTTAGTTCAGGCCTCAGCCCGAAATTCAGGAACTAGCAGTAAGGAAGGAGCTGTAGAATGTTCTTTCACTCTCCCTGCTCCATTCCCCCCACACCCTCAACTTTGGCCAGGTGGCCACCCTAGAGCCTGGGGGAGGAGAGTTTATATGAGAAGGCAGAGGACATTGTTTAGTTTTTTAAGAGGCTGCTAGTCTTGTTTGTAATACTCTCTTGGTTCTCAAATGTCCTTTGTTATGGCAAAAAATCCAGGTCTTTCTCAAGAACTTTCTTGGGTGCCATCCTGGTGGCAGTAGGAATGGATGAGCTCAGCAGGGGTGGGATTGGTCTGTTTCAGACACTGGTCTTACCTTCTGGGAGAAACTCCTGTCTATGAGTGGTTCTGTTAGGTCCATCTCCACCCCATTCCTCACAGGGAGGGGTAGAGAACATCACAATACTCTCATCTGTTATGAATTCCCTTCCAGGAACCTTCCCTAATGAATCTGTGTGCTTCTCTATGTAGGCTATTGGGTGTAAAGGCCAACCAGTTTGGCCACTTCTCAGCAGCAGTATGTTGAGCGCTTCTCTTTATGGGGCATACATCACCCATGGGACTTGGCTTTGAGGCTCTATTCAAAATTCTGGGCAACAGGATAGTCCATGCCACATCCTGTAAATGTGGAGAGGTAGTAAGACAAGTGACAGGCTTAAAAAAAAAAAATCCATCACTTAGTAGAGTGGAAAGTGAACTCAACTTCTTTCGGTTCCATGTTAGAGGCCAGTGACTGCAAACATTTCCCCAACTCTGACTTTTTTATTGTCCTAACACTGCTGCTAAGACACATCTCCTATCCAGAAGCCCATGAAACTGTTTCTGACTTCCCTCCCATCCCCAAATGCTGCTAACCCACGTTGGAATCCCTTAGGACTTTTTCCCTAGAGCTGATCTCAGAGGCTCATAAGAGTAACAGATGAGTATTTTAATAGGGACTTTCTGGAATGCCTTATCTGCTAATGGTGAAATTTTCAGACCCAAAGGCAGGCTGGTGGAGAAGATAGCACTGAACACATCAAATTCTAAATGCATCAAATTTGGTGAGTCCGTGAGTTATTTTCTTACAATGCTTTGCACATAATAAAAGCTTTTGACTTGAAATACTGTTTCTAATACGCATGACAACACATCTTTCCATGTGTAACCACAATAAAGAAATGTTTTTAATGTGAGAATAATTTGCCACAAATATATGAGAAAAGGCCGAGTTGAAGCTAAGATGTAATTAGTTCTATTTTTATTTCTCATTATTCTCCCTACAAAACAGGTAGATAGAAACATGGGCAGTTTTAGATGAAAAGCATCTTCACCCTCGGACTCATTCTCCACAAGCGGATTCTGGCCAGAAAGAAGATCACATTCCCTTCTGGGGAGGACATGCTGTTGGCTGCTTGAGAACCAGTCAACTGTCCGTGCCCCACCCCCATTTTAAAAAAATGCCTTTGTGTCCCCTGTGAGGAGAGTTAGGAAGACAGACTATTTTCTTAACAAATCTTTAGTTTGTGTCTGTTTATTTGCAGAGGAAGCCATCATCACATGCTGATGAAAAATATCAACACCTGCAAACATGAGATTAGGGTGAGGGCTGCGAGTCACCAGCAGGAGCAGGTGAGCCACCTGGCAACAAAGACTCTGTTCAGACCTCAACAAAAGCACAAAGGACAAGATTTTTCTTTGTAGGTCTTTGGTTTTTCCTTCTGCTTTGGTGCTTAGCTCTTCCTTTGGTCTGGTGGGTTGTCTCGGCAGCCCATCTCCGTGAAGCAACAGGATGGCATGACAAAAGACCACCATGGCATCAAAACCTGGATTCAAGTCCAGAGCAGCTGGTTGCTCACCTTGGGCATGTTGCCTAAATTCTCTGATCTCAGTTTTCTCATTAGCAAAACAAATAATATCTGTTCTCCCAATCTCAAAAAAACTCAAGATACGTCAAATAAAACTACCAAGAAATGTGGAAGTACTTTGTAAACTCTTAAACCCTGTACAACTATGTGATAGGGAAACTGCACAGGGACACAGTATTAGAAAAAGGAGAAAAGGAGCAGACTACTGCCACAGTCACCTGGGGCTGAGCTCCTATTCCTGGCCGCACGCTTGGCTTCCTGAGAATAGAGACAACATTCCTCAACCTGACCTACATGCCCTGCAGGATCTGGCTCCTTCCTACTTCACCAGCCTCACCTTGTACATTTTCCTTGCTCCATCTAGAACCACTATCCATCCTTTAGCTTTTATCCAGTTATCACTCCCATAGGGTACCCATCCATGGCTCCCTGACTAGGTTAAATTCCTCTATTGCATGATCTTATAGAAGCATATATTTTTCCAAATTTGTAAAGTTTGTCATGGTTACAATTTACACTTATTCGAGCAATTTTACATTAATATTTGTCTCCCCTGTTTTCCTGTACAAGGGGCAGGGATAAATTCTGTCTTACCATTTTGTTCCTGGCTCCTAGCACAATGCCTGGCATATATGGTAGATGCTCAATAAATATTGGTTAAATGAGTGAATAAATGATCAGATGCATGAATGATGACCTGAGTCCTTCTTGTAGATTCTGTGGGACCCAAGGGTAACTCTTGCATATTTGAGCCTCACCCGTGGTTGACACTTGGCCCAAAGAGTTTTGAAACTTTGAGATGGGGTGGTTGAAAAGATGAGCATTGGAACCAGAGAAGGCCAGAATACAACTTTGATGCGAACTACCCTTTTATACTTAGAAATTTACGTAACGAGTCATTGGATTTGTGTATGTCAAGTAACCATACACAAAAGGACATGCATAAAAGGAGAAGGAGCTTTCTGGAGAAACTGTGACTTCTAGAGAGCCCTCCTCTGGATGAGGAGGTAAAAGTTGCTGAAGATGAAGTTGCACCTGGGCAGATTTGTTTCCTCCAAAAAAAAAGTGTAATTTTTCTGAGGAGGGAATTGGCTTGGGCTATGCTTGCAAAGTTGTTTGTTCTCGCATTGGTGTGTGCATATTCCTGCTTGAGCAGCGGCTATCTCAAGATGGCAGGGCTATTTTATCAAGAAGTGAGAGGTGTCATGGGGCTCTGAGCACGAGCCTCTGAGCCGGAGAGGTGACCTATTTAGGGGACATTGGGAGCCATGCCCCTTAGCTGTTCTCCTGTGGGAATTGTTGGCAGGGTTAATGGTGACTCTTTTTCAACTGATTAAGGGAGGGGGACAGGTGGGACTGAAGGAGCAGCGTGGATGCTGCAGTGATCGCAGCTGCCAGGCAGCTTAAGCATGAGGCCCCTCCTTGAGGACTTGCAGAAATGCCTGAGGAAGACCTGGGGTGGGGCCCTCTGGCAGAGGGTCTGCCTGTGCAGGTAGGACAAGCGAAGGAACTTGGATCATTGCTGTGAAAGGGACTTTATTTGTACTCACAGCCTGGGTAGGTCTGCTGACATTTGGGTTAAAGTTTAAGGGATTTATAATGTGATTTTGCCTATAGTAAAAGATATTTCTGAGGAGCTGGTACTTCTCTCCACGTATGTGCCCACATTGGGAAGTTCTTGGGCACAGCTACTCTGGGCTAACCAATTTGTCCCTGTTTGACCAGGACTTTCCTAGTTTTAGCACTGAAAGTACCCAGTTCCGGACAAACCAGGATTGTTGGTCACCCTACCACTCACTCACAGTGACTATTTCTTACCTTCATGCTGGGAACAGGGCAGACCATTCATTGACTCAACATAGTGGAAACCAGACTATGTCTTCCCTTTGGGATATTAAGGATCTACGAATAGCCAAGATATACTGTGAAACTCTTTCAAATTGTGCAACTGAGGCTAAAAATGGATGCAAGGATACTAAGGTGCTATTCTGGGCCAATAATTCATTTTCATTTGCCAAGTCATCTTCAGCTTTGTCTGTCTGTCTACCTGTCTATCTATCTATCTATCTATCTATCTATCTATCTATCTATCTATCTATCATTCCATCTATCTATCTATCTATCATTCTATCTATCTATCTATCTATCATTCCATCTATCTATCTATCTATCTATCTATCATTCCATCTATCTATCTATCTATCTATCTATCTATCTATCTAATCTATCTATCCATCCATCCATCTGGTGACTATTCACACTAGATTTTCTATGATGGATACAATTTTGTAATATACTTTCCTTAGTAATAAATAACATCAAGTTTATAATTAATATTACAAGTTTTAAAATAGTTTATATAAATGAAATCCCAAATCAGAAAAACATGTTTGTTAGAAACTGTGCCTTGATTTTTCATTCTGAAATTAGAATCACCATATCACCAAGATAGTCAATCCTTAACAAATGGAACTGTGACCACCACCCCCCAAATGAGGCAAACAAATACAGAGTGATGAAGGGTAAGGAAGAGAAAGGATTCTACTGACATTCCCTTATTCCAGAGATTCTTAGGCAGAAGCTAGTCCTAGATGAACAGGTTCTTAGGTCTTGGTGTTAGATAGAAGGAGCCATCGAACTCCTCTGCTGGAGCATAGGATGGTGGGGCTGTAGGACCAGTCATCCGGGGAGAGGGCACATCTTCTTTTCCCAGGCAAGATGAGAAGATGAGCAGTAACCCACCAAGGGCCAGGAAAATACCAGCAGCCCAGCCCAGGAAGAGGGCATCTCCAAATTCCCACCGAGGCACAATCTCAGGGACGCTGTCATCCCAGAAGTCTTGGATTGTGGCATAGGCCACCCAGGAGACTGGAAAGAGGGTAGTGGCTGAAGCTGATGCCTCCAAAGTCCCTCCCAGAAGGCAAAGCCTCCTCTTAAATACGTGGCTGATCCTGTGAAACTGGAAGCATTCAGACCCAAAGACAGAAAGCAGAAGCCCCAATAGTCCCAGCCCATGGGAGGCTACCATGAGGACACGGGACACCTGGAGCTCCTGGGGCAGGGACAAGAAGGACTCAAAGGCCTTGCACACAGTGGCAACTTCCTCCTGATTCACGCAGACTTCCCAAAGCCCCATGATCCAGGTCTCCATTTCATTCAGTTCCAAATTGAGAGTCTTCCATTGGGGCAGGGCAGTGGTCACACATGAGCAGACCCAGCCAAGGAGAGAGAGGAGCAGTCCCGCCAGCTGGACTTTTCCACGGAAACTCCAGGCCATGGCTGCTCCCACCACAGAGGCAGAAAGTTAAAAGGAGGCTTGGAGACTGGTTAGTGGGGAGGCCTTTTGGGAAGATTGGGCGGAAGATTTTTCGTATTTGGAGAGGGTTCCTGTTTCAGTTTTCTAGGCGGCAGCTGAGGCAGGTGCCAGGAAGTTGGCAATGTTTGGGTTTAGGGGGTGTGCCCAAGATCGGATGTGGGTGTGGATTTTGGGAGAGGGTCCCGTGAAAGGTAAGAAAGCCAGACAGTAAGCTATCAATACATATTTGGTGAGTAAACTCACAAACTTAAAGTTAAAATCACTCCCCAGTTCTGAGATGACAAGAATGATGTTCTGGGAGTATTCATTGATATAATCTTTCTGGAGAGCATCATGACTTCATGGTTCATACTTTTACATATATGCGTATTTTGACCTAGCGCCCTGCCTCCAGGAACTTACCTTAGCCTATTGTGAAGATATACAAAGATTTATGAAAATGTTCTTGAAATATTGTTAATAATTGTACATTTTGGTTAATACTAGGCAGCCATTTTAAAGTGATATAGAAGACATTTTAATAACATGAAAAATGTTTTTGTTTTTTTTTCCTGAGGAAGATTTTCCCTGAGCTAACATTTGCTGCCAATCTTTCTCTTTTTGTATGTGAGCTGCTGCCACAGCATGGCCACTGACAGATGAGTAGTGTAGGTCTGTGCCTGGGAAGTGAAGCTGGGCCACTGAAGCAGAGTGTGCCAAACTTAACCACTAGACCACTGGGGCTGGCCCGTGAAAAATGTTTTTGTTATGTTGTTAAGTGAGAAAAGCAGGTGACTAAATAGTATATAGAGTATATAGAATACAATTTCACTTTCATAAAAAAGTGCATATATCTATGTTGACATCTATATCCATATATATATGCATATCATATACCACAAAATGTTGACCATGGTTATTTTAGTGGTAGGACTATGGGTAGTTTTTATTTCCTTATTTTGTGCTTATCTATGTTTTTGTAAATTTTATGAATTTATTATTTAGTATTTTTGTAAGCAGAAAAAATTAGAAAATTTCCCAACCCAAAGAACCTATCGAGACCCAGAATATACCAGGAGGGGAGCACTCCCTCCCCAGTCTCCTGCTGCTGCTAGGACAGCTGTTATAAATAGATGCTAGTCATACCAGCTTCCATTCCTAGGTATTTATTGCTGCTGCCAAGAAGCAGGTTCTGACTGGAAAGGAAATAATTTTCACCTACTGAGTGCGGCTGAACGCCAGACTTTTGGCTAGATACCTTATCCTTAGTTAATTTTCACGCTACCACTGTGGAGATACACGTTAGGTAACTTGCCAACATACCCTGGCTGGTAAGCAACAGATCCAACTCCTGAGCTAGGAGGCTCAGACTGTGACATTTCCCGTTCTTCTCCCCAGATTGTGACAGTGATTCCCCCTGCACTGCTCCAGCATGTGGGGAGGATTAATCTTTATGACAAAACACAGAAGAAAATGGGGATTTATTATATTGAAGACATAAATTTTTGACCAGTGTATTCCCCTATTCATATTTTAAGCAAATGCATACCCTGTGGTACACCACGCAGTGAAAGCAGAGGTGTAGGACAGTCAGCAAGGAGGAAACATCCGAGAAAGCATCTTGACTTTATCTGAATGACGTTTCAACACCTAAGCAACCTAATTAAATTATCAATGGTCTAGGGGTGGAAGGAGGCAATCAGAATCATCTCGAATGCTCTTTTTTCTTTTATGTTTTATTATAGGAATTCAAACTTACACAAAAGTGGAGCAAATGGTATAAAGAAATCTCATGTCCCATCACCCAGTTTCAAAAATTATCCACTTCTACCCATCTCGTTTCACCCATACCCGCATCCACCACTCCACATCTCTCCCTTCATATGCGTTTCAAATTGTAGGCTCTTTCTGCTGCGTTTTTAACAGCCACATGTTCTAGTCAACACGATGGCAAAATATTTTGTCTCCCTGGAAACACTGTCTGCTTGCACTATATCCATCCAGATTTGTGTTTGATACTCTGCTTCCTGGACACAGGTATGCCACATGCCCGTGAGCCATGATAAGTCAGGAGGAATCCTTTCAGACGTTGCTCCTTTATCCTTGCATTTTCTTCAGGGCCTTTCTTGATGATTCGTGAAAATCTGTGAATTGGGAGACATACAAACCATCATAAGTAAGAATTATGAAGGAAGTCATATTAGTAAGAGAAAACGGAACCCATTTGTTTATTAATTTCTTTTTATTAATTCAAGTATTCATCAATTCCTGCATGCATTGACTGTCTATGTGTAGCAATGGCACTCCATCCCCTATGCTCTTCCTTCTCCTTCCTCAGTCTTACCCTGGCTCTTCCATCTTTTCCTGGAACCCTGAGGAACAATCTTCAGCTTATCCAGTGGCTTCTCTGCCCAGGGAGAGGTGGAGCTTCTGCAGGTGTGTTTATGGGCATGCATGAATTGGTTTCCTGGAGGAAGATCCCAGAACCTCAGGCTCAAAGTGGCACCACTTTCGATTCTCAGTCCAGATGCCTCCTTGCTGTGAAACCTCCCTGATTCACTCAGAGACTGGGTGCTCCTCCTCCAGTATTTCCTCTGCTCTTTGTACCTTCCTCAGAGGTGGGTGAAGTTTCACGCCTGTTACTTGCACAGGCCCCTTCCCAGGCCTGCACCTGATTTTGTATTTTATATTCTTTTCCTTAAAGAGTCCTCTCCTTCCCCACAACTGTGTAAGATTAGGCACCACAAAAATCTGGATTGCTCCCTCATCTACCTCCAAAATAATTATCATATCCTCCTGTGATTATTTATTCACACATTTTGGCTTCTGAGACCTGGCATCCTGTCTGTCATGTAGTAGTTAATAAATAGGTAATACAAGTTTTCAGGAATTTCATCTGCAAGTCCTTCTTTCTCACTGGGCATTTATTATTAGTAGCATTTAGAATTCAAAGTGAGGCTGACAGGTCTACTAAACAGAAACTGATTTGGTTTTCTAGGGAGAGGTGTTTCCCAGGATGCTATGGCTGTCCTTTGTGCTTCCTGTCTTAACCCCAATTTCATTTCCTTTGCTCATGTCACAGGAAGCTGCCCTTGCCTCACTAGGATAAGCAGATTGTCCCACAGCCACTTAAAATTGACAAGGACCTTAGGGTCAGCATCTACTTGGGGTCAACCCTCACAAGATATCTTTTCAAAAAATTAAAGATATTTTAATTAAAGCAGTACATGTTTATTGCAGGAAAAAACAATAGATAGGGAAAGAGAATAAACATCATAAGTCCACCACTCAGAGAGATAATTTGGTATATATCTTTTACCTCTCTCTCCATATTTTTAACAAAGAAATTATACCGTGCATAGTATATTGTGAACATCTTTCAGTATGTAACATTTAAATAATGAAACAATTTTTAAAAGCTTTTGATAAAATTGATTTGTAATCTCTGAAAGTGCTAAGTATCTTGTTCCAGTCCACACAGTACTAATGTTGTTTATACCTAGGTAATATAAATAATGTAAACGTCATGTATTACGTAGATGTAATATATGTATATTTATATGTACATAGAGGCAGTATTTATATATGTAATATATGTACGTAGATGTAACATAAACTATGCAATACAAAAGAAGTGCAATTATAGGCAGACTTCTATTTATACTGAGGTGACGCCACTTCGTTCCACAACTCCAGAGGGCACCATTCAGATGGGCTCCGATGGCCACTGCGGCCCATGGGAGCGAATATTTAACGAAAAAAAAATCAAGATGGGTTCGTCGGGTCTTCCAGCTAGATAAACTTCACAGCTAAGAAGTTTGAAGTTGAGAAGGGTTCAGTTAGGACTGATTACTAAATAAAAACATTTCATTTCTTCTACTTAAAAACGGGCGGGAAGAGACAAGCTATTCGAAAACAGCTAGGAAGAAAACGCTTCTCCGCACAGTTTGCCAACTACGGGACACCGTGGAAATTCCACGCTAGGATAGTCGCGATGCCTACTGGGAGTTGTAGTGTGGCCCTCGCCTTCCGTGCAGCGGCCTGGGCCCCGCAAGACTCCGTTTCCCAGCAGGCCGCGCGTCAAGGCCGCCGGCGGGACTGGAGCTGCCGCGCTGACTACGAGAGAGTGGCTCTGTCAGCTTTGGTTCCTGTCGTGGCCATGGCCTCGTTCGTGACGGAAGTTCTGGCACACTCGGGAAGGCTAGAGAAGGAGGATCTGGGCACCAGGATCAGCCGCCTGACCCGGAGGGTGGAGGAGATCAAGGTGAGGGCGCGGCAGCAGTCGGCGGACTAGAGAGCGACGCCGGGTGGTGTTCGAGGAGAGATGAGCAGTGGCTGAGGGCGGACAGAGTGGGTAGGAGCAGAGTCAGGTGTGGGGCCTGAGTGGGAAGAATGAGGAGTGGCAGGGCTGGGAAGTATGTGGATTGAGGAGGAAGCTTGGAGCGCAGCCGAGTTGGGGACGGAGGAGGCGAGGAGGCCTGGGACTGTGCGGAGGAAGAGGCGGTGGCTGGGGGAATGTTGGGGAGTGGGGTTAGGTTGGGGAGGCCGGGGGCAGGGGACGCGGAGGGAGACTGAGGGGACCAGCAGGGCAGGGGAGTGGGACTGAAAGCCTCCATGTGTCCAGAGAGGGAGCACAGGAGAGGGATGGATATGAGGACAGGACGTGTTTGTCTCCTGCACCCACTCCTTTTTGTCCGATTTGTTGATGCACATGATAGCTTTGGGAAGATTGTACCATTCTCCTCTCTGAAGTTTTTGTTATTGAAACCTAGCAGTGTGTTTATTTGCTCTCTTCTCCATCCCTAAGCCCTGGAGGCCGTGCTGAGTGTTGTAAAACACGTCAATGGCACTTCTCTGGACCCTGCTGTCTTGAGACTGAGAGAGAACCAAAAAGCACAGAGCCGTACACAGGTTCCCTGTGTACTGCTGTCCTCACCTTGCCAGTATTTGCCCGCATCTTTGCTGCATTCACTTAAAATTATGTGCACCTGCTTAAGTCTGGATTTAAGGGAGCGAGTTTGGCACCTACCATAAAGGCACAAGAAGTAGCTCTTCCTAACAATTCTTGATTTTACAAAAATGGTTTCCTAGTTTGTAAGTATTTCACGATACTGACATCTCTTTAACATGGCTTTTGGGTTTTAAACCACGTTTTATATGATACACAGACTATTAAGCTACCTTAGCATGGCACTTGGGGTTCCTGTGTGTTCTGAACCTAACTTACCTTTCCTTTCACTAGTTTCCTTTACCAACTTGAATCTTCAG